ATACACCATGATACAGTCCAGTACAGTACTACAGTATTTCATAAGAGACATTTAACATTTTTACTGTGTACGAAATATTTTTAGTTCATACTCACAGTTTTCTCTTTCTTCAACACAGACACATTCTGTTTATTAAAACCAACATATGGTCAATATGTTGTGAAAATAATTTTTATTTATTTGTTTATTTTTTGTTTTGTAAATATTCTGGAAATGCTTCCGTATTTTAATAACATCATTACCCTTGGATTTGTGACAAAATTCTTATTGTTAATTTTACAGGTGGGTGGAGAGGAGGATCTCTGTCTGCACACCATGGCCACTTTACTCTCTAGCATCACCAGGACTCCGGTAAAGTGTATAAATACAGTAATCTCTACAGTTCTTATGGGTATGATCTCGACTCAAGACCAGCCAACTTATGTGAAATGAACAAATTTGGGATTAAAAATCTGGTGTTTGTATCTCTTAAATCTGAAAATGGAAAGGTACAACTTTTCCATATTTCTGACCTGGCTTATGTCCTCACACCACCTCCATGGTCCCCACCATTATCAGCTGTTGTTCATGCAGGGGTTGAAAAACAGCAAACATAAACAGTAACAGCACCTTTTTCTGTACACACACAAAAAACTGGAAGTAACTTTTTGAAAAATTTTTAGAGAGACAATTATAAATCTTTCATAAATTTGTAATATACTGTACTGGCTGTGCCTGTATATTAACAAACATAAAGGTTTTACTGTACTACAGTTTTGTTACCCATCATTGCTTTTTGGGAGACAACATTTCCTCGCGAACAGCTTCTCGTTGTACCCTCAGTGGTTGCCAACGGCTTCAGCCAGTTTATTGTAAAAAGATTAACCAATTGGCCAGCTTACCTAATGTCACCTATCATGAAAGAAGTGCATTGTTATTTTTAGGGTAGTTAGATAAGGAAAGGTTGGTGTGATGTTTTTTCTGATAACATATAACATAAGTTTGCTGGGGAAGTGTTTGGTTGCTGAGCTTTTGGGATCACTCACTAGAGAGCGTATCAACAGTTTAACTGTAAAATATGGTATCTGGGTGTGGCTGGACAGTACTTACTCTTAAAACTGGAGAAAAAACCAAGTTGGGACGTTGTTATTTCTCCAATCTCTCTTTCTCCATTTGAGAGGTAAAATTTATGATTTTCAGAAGAAACCCAAAATCTTACACTTTCTAGGTGATATTGTGGTGGCTCACATAATGATTTAAGTGGAACATACTGTAACACAATACATAAGGTTGTTGCTGACCTCTTTATGACAGCACTACCACATGGGTAAGAGTGGTGCTCTACCATCATTGTGGTCTGAAAAAACATACATTTATTTTGACATTTTTGGGGGATGAATTTATGTTAAAGGATATTTTTAAATTAACAGGGTGTAAGTCTAAACTCTGCAACTTAGTTCTGTATGATTACCAGCGTGATGTACAGGACACACAAGCACACTTTTCCATGGAGGGGGTGGAATGAGGTAAAGTACTGTATACTTTAATGCATTGATTTTGAGGATCACTTTGTACAGTATTATCTTAGAAAACATGATAGGCCACTTAATTGTTATTCATTGAGCAGGTATTACACATAAACTTGTTGCATAAGTCAAAGAAACAGGTGCATATGGAATCCTTTCAATTTTGGAAAAGAAATTAAATTTTGCCATGACCTTCCCTCAAATTGGTCAAAACGGTGAAGGTTATTTGTATTTTCTTGTTTTTCCACATAAACATATGAAATGATGTTAGATATACAAATAATACTGTGTAATCAGATCTCATTGTTTTTTGACAGACATAATACCAGAATGATCTCTAGTTTTTTGAATATTTGTTCATTATAGTATTACTTACATCATTTTGCCCATTCTCAGAGCTTCACAGGGAAGCAGCGTGCTGTGGTGGTGTGTCTTTGGGGAGAAAACGGCATCATATGGACTCCTGGGGGCTGCAAGGCTGCGGCCCTTGAGGATAATGGATGGACGAAAAGATTTTTCCAGAGGATGATACCGACCTCTTGCTTTTGACCCTGAAACTATGGTTTGTGTACTGTACTTGCAACATCAGTTCGAGAGAGTATAGTTATATGAGCCAGTTATTAGTATTGATGCATTTGTTTATATATTCCCCTAATAATAATATTGAAGGTGGTTTACATCCTGTATCCTTATTTCAATCATAGAACATTCAAGTACACTACCAAGAATCCTTGCAGACAATCATCCAGTATAGACTGAGATTTCACTTTGTAAACTGCACTTTCATAAGCTGAAAATATGAGCAAATGTTGCTGGGTATTTCTGCTTGTTTTCTCCAAAAAGTTTCTGTCATGTTTCCATGTCTTGCACCTATTCTCCCTTATACAGTAGCTACACCTCTTGAGGTTTTTGTTTTACCTTCATCCTTGTTGGCTGTGTCTTCGTCTCCTGTTTGTGTGAGGTGTATCAAGGTTGAAGAAAACTCAAAGAAGATAAATAATATGAACAGCAATTATGCAAAGATAGTATAAAAGAGTGACAGGAAGAAACAAGCTTTATAGTTGTTTATGTAACAAACTTGTAGTAGCAGTGTACATAGTAAGTCTTTAATATCTACATTGTTTTTGCTGTGCTTTTAAAATAATTAATTGTACAGTACATGTCAGCAGGATGTGGTACTTTAATGCCGCATGACAAAAAGAAGTGGGAGATTCATAAGATAAGATATATTGATAGATGAAATGAGTCGGTGTAGCTAATAATTGCATATAAAATTACATGAAATTAACTTGATGTTTTGTTGTCCACCAACAGACAGGAGTAGAGAGCTATTTAATATTATGACCCAGGAGAAGAGTCATCTCTTGCACCTAACTGGTGCTTATGACACTTCTGCTCTGATATCTTCCTGGAGGGCATGCCAACAGCTCCAAGAAAGTAATGTATATTATGGAGTTTGTTTATACTCTACTTTCTTACCATAGTCAGGAATTACTTCCTATATAAACCTTTATTACACTGTTATCTGAGAAATTGATAATATTATGTCCAAACAATTCTGAGTCAACAAATGCATCATAGATAAACAAGTATTTGGGAAGAACATTTTAAAATTTTGTTATAATCTCATGGTGCTGTGTCAAATTGAATTGTAATTTAAAAGATTCCTTTGACCAGAATCAGAAACATAAAATTAGATAATAAAGATATCAATGAAGTACAAGGAAATTACAATAAGAGGCCATATGACTCCAGAGGTGTTGATGCAGTCTCCAAACAGTTGCTTTGACACATCTACCACATAGAATTTTCTCATGTTCTTTATCACGTCATCTTCACTGTTCATAACCCGCTGCTCTAACTTGAATACTGTACTCACTGATTTTGCTACAATTCTCTTGATAATGATCCTGTCAGTTTAAACTTACAGTGGGTAGCTTTATAATGACGGATTCTCTTCTGAATATTCTCTTGACGGTTTTTACCTATAAAATTGAGAATACTACTCTTAGGCAATTCACTATAACTAACAGTAATGTATTTTTTTACTAATTTGTGTTTTTTATTACAAGTATTAATGATGTTCTTTATTTCAGGAGTTTAGATGCATATTTATGCACTTTTTACAATTTTACAATTTTATACTATATTTTCAGTGTTAAAAGTGGTTGTATTTGGGGCCTGGAGCAGTTAATCCTGCTTGAATAGATGCTTTATAGCGAACAGGTTGTAGAAATAATTAGATTCGTTATAGCACTTCCTGTCATCTGAGTCTCAAGATTATTCAACAAATTAATTCCTCTTTAATTTTTTTTCTCTAGAGCTGTCTTTATACAGAAATATAAATGTCATGCACTAGTTCAGTCGTTCATTCTGTCACTTAGTACACTTGCTGACCAGTCTCGCCTCCTCCTCCCATATTACTTTTTCCTTCTTTTAACAATGTTTTTAGCCCATCACATCATAAACTGGGTGATGCATCTCTTCCCTCGGTTATGTTAGCAGTTCCTATCAATATCCCAATCTTTTACCTTTATCTCTGCAATGCTGTACACTTGCTTACAAAGTAACTGCAAAATTTTTTGGTAGACAATATGACTACAATGGATGAGGATTTTGACAACCCTACTGAGACAACTGGGTGCTGTGTTCATTTTAACATCTCTCCGGACCTCACCTCTCAAACACTTTCTGTGAATGTACATCCTCTTTATTTTCCTAATAGGTCCCCATAACCCTTTGAGGGCAGCCCATTCTTGGGTATTTTATTTTGGCTAACGCCAGATGATTTTATTCATCCTAAGGGTCAAACCCTACAATTTACATTATAATGAAGATTAAATAGCAATTCAGGTTCTCCTGCATCATATTTAACACCTTCTGTTAATTTTAATGACTAAATATAAAGTAGGTGTGTTACTACAGCCACATTCCCTGGACTAGTATGGAGGATTGCATCTGAATAACCTGTTCCCCAAGTCACTTACATTGTGGAAAACCTCCTTTCTAGGGTTTCTTGATAAGCGTGGTCAAGCCTGAAAGCTGGGATATCTTCAGTCTTCTGAGTATTATTTTTCAGTGTCTCATCTGCTCCTTCTGTGCCATCCAACACACATGTTTGACATCAAGCTACATTCTGCATCTTCAGGACTATGATGCAATCAGGTAAGTAAACAAAGTGATATAAGCTACCATAGTGTTTTGATTCAGAAGTCATTATAGTTAAGTATATTTCATTAAAGTTCTGGTGTAGTTTAGATTCTCCTTCTGGAATTAATAGTCAAGTTTTATTTGTACATTGTTTGGGTGAGGAAATCATAATAGGAGAGAATGGTTAATATTCAAGGCCTATACTATATTGTTTTAACTCAAACCTCTATGGGTACAGTAGTGATATTAGCAGCTTTCATTTGAGTAGAACTTGTCACATTGCCATAATTATTTAACCTTGGTTTTATCAGAGTAATAATATGTCAAGTATTATCTTTTTTTCAGATCTAAAGCTCAGAACTATCTTGCCGAGGTACTGAGACAAGTCCCAGGTATCAGTAAGGACTGGGTCTCCTTTGGTCGTTTGTGTTCCCCTCGTGTACTCTTCATATTTTCTTCCCGACTCTTACCCGTGCAGATAAAATCTCAGGATAACTCCTCAATACAAAGGTAATGTTAAAACCTCTCACTTTATGCTTATTAGTTTCTATGCTCTTGTTGTTTATGCTTGAGGGTTATTGATTTGCACATATTCATTTGTATGTCTGTCCCTTTTATGCAAATGATTTAGCAGGATTAAGCAGAATACAATAGGTTGTTATGCATAGTTTATACCTTTTGTAATTTTTGTAACTGTATTGTATCAGCAGGACAGGCCAGAGGACCAATAGAGCCAGCCCTCTTCGCAATTTGGAACTTGCCCTTGAGGACCAGATTTATCGTCTCCTCCGTAAAAGTCGAGTCATAACCAATATTAGGTGAGACACATTTATGATGGGTAGTTGACTGACTAACCTTGGTGGCGTATGGAAGTGCTGTACTGCTGTCGAATATGTACGGTGCAGGTTTCGAAGAATAATTTTCTCCATAGGTCATCATATTTCCTATATCTTGGTTAATAGTACTGTATTGTAACTATGTTGGCATCCTTACAGTCAGCATGAATGAAATTAGATAATATTTCCCCTTCTCCTTCTCCATACAGTGCAAACTCACTATTTGCCTTGCCCAACAACCAAGCTTATGTTTACATCATGGAGGAGAGCCAGGAGGAGGTGCCACCATCATCCCTCATCAATAATACACTTCGCAAACTGTGCTCTGTACAAGGTAGTTATGTACAGTATCTTGTCATCTGCAACACTGAGGGTAAATTGAAATGATGTGATGGATGGCATGAATTGGTTTGAAAGGCTACCATTACCATTGAGACCATTGTTGTAGTAATGAGTGACAGGAGTGAATTTGTTATAATGGCTACCAGTGTGAAAATAATGAATGTCATGTATGTTTCATGAACAGCTTCCTGCCGGTGAGACCAGTGAAAGGATTTTTTGTGGGTAAGTGTACGCATAGGAGAATTACAGCATTTATTTCATTTATTGAACTTGTTCTGTGTTTTATTCATTCCTTTTACAAGCACAACTTCTCAGACACTTATCATTGGTACTGGGGAGATGGCAAGTACTTTGAGAATGTGAATGGCAATCATAGAATATTAATTGAAAACAAAAAATTGTCTTGGACAATAAAATGAACATACTTGTACTGTATGTGGAAGAAAGTGTTGAAGGGATGAATGCGATACTGCTGGAGTTTAGTTGTTATTAATGAGTAAGGGGGTACAGTATGGTTTACAGGTCAGAAACTGTGTGTGTTTCCCAGGGTTGGACAGATGTATAAATGTGCAGTTATATGTAAATGTGCGGTTTACTTCTTTATTTTAGGAGTCTCCTTTCTAATTGCTGTTCACAGATATTCAAAGTTTTATTTTGTTTTCCTGAATTAAAACTAAGAACTTGTAAATTGTATGTTAATCTTTTTTATATAGTGTATTTTTTTTTTTATCTTTTGGAATATTTGAGTAGAAAAAAAATGGTGGATTTTAGTGTACAGTATAATTCTTATCATCCACAGATGGTATTATCAGTGACCTTACTCAACTGACTCTGGGATCAAGTAGCAAGAATATGAACATTGAAAGCAGCAGCAGGGGAGGAAGAGGCTTGGGCTGGGATTCTCCTGCATCTCAGTCCACACACTCAGACGCTTCTTCTGCAGATGCCTTAAGTTCATCTATCTTGGCAGGAGTGGCCACGGAACGAAAACGAAATCTAGGTGAGTGTTATTGCAATACTGTACTGAACTGTATGCCTTATACTTTATACCCTAACTTAACAGTACATAATTTATAGGTACTATTTCCAACAGGTTGTCAGTACGGTACTGTATTAAAAAATTTTCGTTGGGTTACAGTTACTGTTCTCTAATACATTTGCCTGTTAATGGGTTTAAATTTTGTACTGAATAGGCTCATACAAGTTACTATTTTTTGTAACAGATATGACTGGATATACAGTATGCTAGATGTATTTTGGTAATTAGAAATAATACATGTTAGTTCATTCCTGTGTTCCAGATCTTTATCTTTTTTCTTTTTCTTTCCAGAACATAGTTTCAACGTATTCCTACAGCAGCATATAGATCAGGCATTAGGGAAAGGATTTGACGATAATGTTGGCAGACACTCCGGCCCAGTATTTTTCCAGGTGCAGTACTGTATATATATATATACTGTATATATATTTTTTATTTTTATGATTACAAGGATTCTTTCAGCCAAAGTTGGTTCTTCTCACTTGGTCAGGTTCAGTTGAAAGATATGAGGAGAGACTTACTGTACTGTAGTTCAAAGATGAGGACAATATTATAGTTTTCATTTTTGGGGGGAATTTCCATATTTTACAAAAATCAAAAACATTCTTGCAATCTTTTTTTTTTCTACCTCTGCTACTTCAGGTTTACCCATTAATATTTATCCTCATCCCTGATTATATGGTCAAAATATCTCAATTATTCTTATGTAATGTAGCCATGAGATTGTGTCAGTCCAAATCCATAAACTTTGGGTTATGACTTTAATTCAGATTTGTTCTGATAAATTTGGGTTCAGGTCCAACTGATTGTCAGATTAATTTGGTTTTGGGTTGAAACATTTATTTCTTTCCTAATCACAAGCCATGTTTGAGAGAAATACTTCCTGGGTTGCAGGTTCCCCGAGCAAGTGTGTGGTTTGATGCTGTTAATAGAGTGTACAAGTTTTTTATGCTAGATCCTTCAGAGAAAGACACAAAAGCAAAACAGGTCAGTGTTTAAAAGGTCTAGTACAGTAGTAGTGTAGTTTTTTGTTTTTGTAAATAAGGAGCAACTCAAACTGTCATTTTTTATTCAAATTACATGAAATACTGGTAAGACTTAATCAAGATATAAACAATGGATATAAACTTTATTTATGGTATCCTTTTATTTATTAGTATGATAATATAGAAATACACTGTACCCTCGTTAATTCAGATCAATATATTAGTGACCTCACTTTACGCGGTTAATCCAACCCACGGCGCCCGCTAAAGTGAACAAATATAACATATGGGATTAATTGAAATAGAGACCGGCCGTAATTTCTAAACCCACTTTTTTTTCAGATAATACATCTACCTTGTAGTAAAAATATTATCTTAACTTTATGATAGTATGCACACACAATTAATAATTAAGAGAAATATCAATAATATTAGGTTTTTTAACACTTACATTAGTAGAAAAGATGGTTGGGCACACGGGGATGGGCGGTTGGTTCCGAGGCAGAGGGCAGATTATTGGCCCTCACTTGTATCAATTGTATCACTATCCACCACAGAGGCTTGCAGGGCCTCTTTGTCAAACCCCCCAAAGTCCATATAAGTCCATATCCTCACCATAATTATCACTATCACTGACTTGGGCCGCTGTGGTGGGTATGCAGTAAAGAACTCGTAATGTTTTGATGACTGGGCGACCAGGCAAGACGGTTTAAGCTGGCCCGCTTTTAAAGGGTACACACACCAAGGAAAGTGAGTATCTGGTTTCGCAGGGTATCACCGCGTGAAACGGAAACACGCAGTGGGATCATAGAAAGCGAGGGTTGACTGTACAGTAAACCCTTGAAAGTCCGGATTGTGGATAGTCTGGACCCATTCAGGGCAAGAAACATTTGTCCAAACCCTTAAATATTTGTTGTTTGAAATTCCCGGCGCATGCGGTCATTTGAAATTGCCACCAACAAACAATCCCTTGGCCTCTTTCCTCCTTCAGACCCATGAGAGAGCAGTTTATTTCCCACTCTTAGAATGGATTTGCCCATAATGTTGCACTGTGATTGGTTACCTAAAAGTTCAACACGTGTTACAGAAAAACAGTAAGATTTGGGGTAAAATAATTCAAGCAATGGTGATGGTAATCATCCCAGGAAGAGCAGAAGATGAGCAGGTATTATACACTCTCACACAGCCCAGTCCATCAGTCTTCATAATTTTGAAGTCAAATTGCAAGTTATATATTGTATTTTTCTGTTATTTAATTTTTTTATTATTAATGATAAAACATACACCATAAGAGGCTGATCTTACAATAATATAATGAATAAAAAGAAAGTGAACACCCCCGACACAGAAGAGATTACCTTCTAATTCAGATTGTTGTTTTATTTGAATTCAAATTATAAACAGTGGTCCCTCCATTAACGAGCACAATTGGTTCCACAGAGTCACTCGTTAACTGAATCTATTATTTCAATGGGATATTGGGTAATTGGTTCCAACTCACAGAATTCCCTTAAAATTAATTAAAAAGTACAAACAAAGTACTGTATACCAGTAATACAGTACTGTACTGTACAGTATGTTGTACAATAATATCATATTTGCCAGCGTATAAGACGCACCAACGCATAAGACGCACCCCTATTTTACAAGGATATTTTATGGAGAAAAAAATTTAGTACGTTTCATCATACATTTATTGAAAGTGATTTTAAAGTGGTTTTGTAAGGGAAAACATATGATTTTGTGCATGTAAAAGCAATATGTACTGGAATCAAGTAGGAAATCACATATTGTAACATTATACTAACCCAACTCTACCTCTGATCAGAGCAGTTGTGTGGCTTGTTTATATTTTAGTCAAGAGAATTACCAACAGGATGTGAAACTCTTATTTTTGGCTGTGATGTTTTGTGTTTCCGCAATCTGCCACCAGGATGTAGCACCATCGCTATTGTTTTGGCGTCATTGGCTCATTGCAAATGGCTGACTGGCGGCTGAACTTTCTGTTAACATTTCTTTCATCTTTCTAGGGGCATTTTGCATTTAGATAATAAAGAAATGTTTCTTAAAGGTAACACAGTCGTTAAATAATGTAAGACATGTATCTGGTGTGGGTTACATATGCTGGGGAAGGAGGTACAGTGAGATGTAGTGAGCTTCCCTCTGCTGTTAAGCCAATGTAAGCCATTATTTACATCTTCAGCAAATTTGCCGTAAGTTTGTGGTAATGGATTGTGATAATTTGGCTTGTTTCAGTATTTTATTATTCGTAACAAAATTTTTGTGCTTACTGGACTACTACTTGTCCCAGACTCCCCAGCTAGGCACCTCCGCCTCCGGCACTCGGCCTCTCATCCGTAATACAGGCACATTAGACGCAGGGGATATTGTGATACTCTTTTTTTTTTAAACTGCGTCTTATACGCCGGCAAATACGTTATATAAAAAACAAAATATTTTAACACTTAATTTGGGGTGTGTATGTAGAATTCCCGGAGGCTTTGTTTACATAGCGGCAGCACAAACATCTGATTGTAGACACAGTCGATGACAACATGCCATATTCTTTACAGAGCGCATTGGTTCTAATGCCTTCTTCGTATTTCTTAATAATTTCTTGTTTCACTTGAATTGAAATTGCCTTCCAAGATTTCTTTGGACCCATGCTTGATAATTTCACCTATAAAATTTTAAGTTCACAACAATTTATTTAACTAATTCCAGATTTTTTTATTTAAATCAACACTGCACTGTATACATCTGCTCCCCGACTTACGACTGGGTTAGGGACCCAAATCCAGGTCATAAGTCGAAATGGTCGTAAGTCGAAAATGCTTAAATAATACATAGAAAATCTAAAATGGGTGTCACTTTTTCTTCTCAGCACCACAAAACTCTCACTTTTAAGCTTGCCAGCCATTTTAAAGCGAATTACAAACGAAATTTTGTCAGTACACAGCGCAATCACTGACGTTGGGACTCGAAAATACGTAATTTGACAAAATTTTGGTACGACTGAGGCGGTCGTATGTCTGGGTGGTCGTAAGTCGAGTAGGTTGTAAGTCGGGGAGGAGCTGTATTATCAATATGTTAACTAATTTCAGAATGACCAATAATTTTAATGTAAAAATGCCAAAATATTCAAGAGCACAACTTTCTCAATGTTTACGCCACTGGAAACAAAGGTAAACATAGAATCAATTATTGGCGGACGAGTCGATCAGCTGATGCGCTCGCCAAAACGTGTTTCTCGTAAGGCTGTCGTTAATAGAATTTGTACTCATTAATAGAACTGAAAGTCCTTACGGAAAATAACACGTTAACTGAAATCTCGTAAATTGAACCGCTCATTAATGGAGGGACCACTGTATTGTATTTTTTTTAATACTGTATATTATATTATTTGTGATGAAACATTCACCATAATAAGCTGATCTTAAGATAATACTGTACTGTATAATAATAAATAAAAAATACTTGCAATCGTGGCAATATTCTCATATGATCAGCTTCTTGTGGTGTTTGTTTCATCATTAATAATATAGAATATTAAATACTAATAGAAAAAATACACCAGGTGTGCGTGTGTGTTTCAATAAACCGTTAAAAATATTTACCAGTAACTACCAGTAAACAATGGAAACGACGCACCAACGCACCACCAGCTGTGAGTGTCGGTACAGTTGCCAGGGCAGATCTCTTGCGTCATCATAGCAAGCCCAAAGTAGCCAAATGCATGGTATGGTATGCACAGGACGATGTAAAACATAAAGTATTCATTTTTTAAAGTTTATTTATAGATACTGTACATAAATTTTTGTTCATTACATTTGAAACATCAATCTTTGTTAATTAAATTTGAAACAAAAGAAAACTACGATACCGTATTTCTAAATACCGGGTATTTTCATTAAAATATTACATCACAAGTATATTTTACCTTAACTGTGACTGAATGAATATATTCTCAGAAATAAATATGGAAATGTAATATTTTTGCTGAAATGACGTACGTATTACAGTGGAAAGTGGGATAAAATCATGACGAAAACAATGACTTTCGCTTTCTTTCGTTGTTCAAAAGATTTTACCGTGGAACAAACCTGTACTGTACATGTACTAAATGATTACGGTACTTAAATTGTTATGTCTATTGCAAATATAGATTGTTTATACAGGTATTCAAATAAATCACTATCTTACAAGAATCCCAGCAATGTAAGTTATATTCACCCAGGTCGTTTGGGTGGCAAATTATGAGAAGAGCTTAGTCACTCTTAAGTAATGATAAATAAACACGTAGGCCTTCAGCGCCAACTGTCACATCTTATCTCAAATAAATAAACAAACACCACACTCTGTCACCTCACCTCCCGCCCCCCATGCTCGCTGGCTACCTCCCTCCTTGTGTTCCCAGACAAAAGATTGGTGATAACTTTATTCTTTAAGGTGTTTATTTTATATAATATCTCAGACTAAAGTTAGGAGATTATAATTTGCATTGCTGGAATCCTTGCAAGACAGCCAATAATTTGAATATAAACGTCATATATTTTGCTCAAGATATAAAAATGTAGTACATTAGTGTACAATACTGTGTAGTACATTTTATAATACAGTATAAAGTTTTCAACTGTATTTTTGGGTAGATTTACATAAATTTCTTCATTTATTTTCATCCATTTACATGCACACACCATACTAAAAGAAATAAATGACCTTAGTGCAAAGCTGGAGTGTACATGTACTAATTTCATTACGGTACTAAAATTGTTATGTCTAGTGCAAATTAGAGCATGTTGCTATTCAAATTAATCAGTGTCTTACAAGAATCCCAGCAATGTTAATTATATTCTCCCAGGTCATTTCACTGGCATTTTAAAATGGGAGAAGTGTAGTAGGACTGTTAAATAAACACACAGAGACCTTCGGCTCAAACTGTCAAACATATCACCTCAACCCACCCCACCCCTCGCTGGCTGGCTGGCTCCGTCCCTCCCTCCCTGCCATCTGCTCAGCCAGGGGTTTATTTAGGCTTACAGTTTTTATCTTATATAATATCTCAGACTAAAGTTAGGAGATTATAATTTGCATTGCTGGAATCCTTGCAAGACAGCCAATAATTTGAATATAAACGTCATATATTTTGCTCAAGAGATAAAAATTGTTGTACATTAGTGTACAGTACTGGTTTTCAGTTAAAAACTGTTGTATTACAATAATATTCCCTCCTAATTGACTTGAATAAATACTTGAATGGAAATATACAATATTTTTGTTGAAACTACCCGCGTTTCAGTGTAAAGTGTCGTAATAATAAATGGTAAACAATTTGCCTTCGGCACTCTGTGTTTCAGGCACGGCGAGCCTCAGTTTATAGGACGTAGAGTGTTTTTACTGAAGGTTTTGTTGTTCCAATACCCTCAAAAACTTGGGTCGACCTATAAACAAGGAATATCATAAATTAACGATTTTTTGGTAAAAAAATCAGGGTCGACCTACAATGCTGATGTCAACACAAGCGTGGTTACAGCGAGACTGACTGAGTGAGGGAGGGGGGTGGCGCGTGTGTGTGCGTGGGTGGTGGGGTGTGCAGTACACCAGATACTTCTTTATTTCGTAGTAATGACACAGAATTTGAAATTGCAACCCCAATTGCAACTGGAGTTGCAATTGTTGAGGCAACTAGATATGTCTGATTACAGCAAATGTGTTATTGTCAATTTGTGGGTGAAAGATTTTATCCTCAATAGATGTAGGTTAACATTACACTTGGGCAAATGTTTAAAAAAAGCCTAATCAAGGAAGCATATTCCTTTAACACATAATATCTGACCAGTATGGGGAGGATCATCGTGTCTCCGTCAGGGGGTCGTGGAGTGGTGGTCCAGCAGGCGTCACGGATTTGGGGGCACGGACATATATGCGATCGGACGTTGTTCGGTCGGACGTTAACCGGCGCATGACTGTACTTCAATTACTTCAATGTACAGAATATTCGTCCGGCGGGGCAATCCGCGTATTTGCGAATCCGTGTATGCTAAACCCGCGTATGTGAAGGGCCGACTGTACAAACGAAAATTTTGTCAGTAAACAGCGCGATCACTAACGTCGGGACTCGAAAATACGTAATGTGAAAAATATTTTATTCGACCATGGCTGTTGTATATCCGGGTTGTCATAAGTCGAGGAGAGACTGTATTATGAAACTGATGAAGATGAATGAATTAAAGGAATAAAATGTGAATTATATTAAGATACCGTATAAAACTATGATTGGTTGTGTAGGCATACCTCCTGCTTGGTAGCTTGCAATCCCTTTATAATGACAGCGTGCAATTTCACCATAATTCCCACATTATTTAGGCTCCTTTGGTGCCGGGTTAATAAAACATTGCCAAAAATAATAAATTTTCCCCCAAAAAATTCCCACACTCAATCCCAGATGAGCTATTTCACCGTAGTACAGTATATTCCTCTCTTGTTTACAGAGTGGCAACAGCTGATCGTTCCTGCTGTCCCTAACAATGTTGTCAGCACTCACCATCTCTTAACCACCATTGTCACTGCTCAAGAGGGTTGGTGCTTACCATAGGATCTGTCCTGAGCACTTAATAAATAATGTTGTACAGTATTTATCAGAACTTAATAAAACATTATTGTAGTGTACATATAATGCTTCTCCATATGCCTTGGTTTATTCACTAATCAGTTGTCTAAGTGCAAAAGTAGCCAAATCCAGCCATCATGTATCAGTTAATTTTAATATAGAAATTATAAATTAAATGTTATAAGACAATGGTTTAGTAGTGCTGTTCATGTGTATGCTGTTTTTTTTTTTTTTTTTTTTTTTGGGGGCACTCCCCTACATCCTTGTGTAAGGTGAAGTGCAGAAGCGTATACAGTGCTCAACAGGGAAGCATGCTAAGTTCATAACTTGCCTTTATGTCTCATGAGTTAAGGGCATAAAAGCCTGAAGAGTCAAGGGCATAGAAGCCTGAAGAGTCAGTGGTTTATGTCATCAAGTTATTGGAAGCTCCAACAACTTGTCCCTGAATACGAATTCGTAACTTTCGATTTACACCAGGTACCTACTTTACTGCTAGGTGAACAGGGACTAATGGGAGCTAGGAAGTATGTCCAAACAACTTCCACTGGCCCAGGAATCGAACCCGTGACATCTCGCTTGCGAAGGCAAGAGCGGTACCACTCTACCACCAGCACCCCCTGTGTATGCTGTGTAAGTGCCTTGTTATGTCTCCTCACCTCCTGCCTCGTTACCTCACCCTTCGCCTTGTCGACTCGTCTCGCAGTGTTACATTTATTTACGACTGTATTATTTACTTTATTATTACTGTATGTAAATTAAAAAAAAAAACATTTATTTTTGCACAGTAATTATAAATAAACTATTTTAAGTGGCAGCCAAGGCATGGCCAGGTGCAAAAACTGAACAGAAAATGAACGAATAATTGAACACAGAAATTCGGAAATTGTTGAATAATGTCAAAATATTCCGACTCGGTTAATTTAGATTTTTCGGTAATTCGAGTGACCCAGAGCCCCGTTTTTGTCGCATTACTGAGGGTACAGCGTATGTACAGTAATTTATCAAGTAAAAGGAAAAAACAATTGAGGGTTTAGATGTACATGCACAGAAATCTTCATTTATATTTTACCTGAATTACCTAATTAATTTGTTTTGTTTTTTATCCCAGATTTTAGGCAGTTTACAGATTCTTGTAGAGACTGAAGTTCGGTTTAGTGATGCCCGATGTGCCAAGGTGTTACCACTAGCAATTTCTGCCTACAAAGATGGACTCCCTCCACACTACACCCACATGCATCATCAAGAGAAGGTTAGTTAGGGAGTAAAATATATTTGTTAAAAGGACATAATAATGTGGTATGGACAAATTGATAGGTCAAAAGAATGTATAATTCAGAGGTGAGTGGAAGGAGGGAGAGGGGAAGACTTAAGAAAAATATATAAGGAGGGAATAAAGGAAGTACCATATTGAAATGTTGATAGGGATGTCACAGCAGTAAGAGTAAATGGAAGAGGACGGGTGAAAGAAGAAGCTCTTTTGCTCTTGATTCCAGTCATCTCTTAGGATATTGAGAAAAAAAAAGCTTGCAAAATTGAAAAAATAAAGAGTACTCTTCAACACAGAGTGACAGTAGAACACACACACACATACCAGAGTAGTTGGTGTAGGAAGAGGGTCATATTGTTGATAATCCCTTCAGTATGAAAGAAGTTGGCACTTTATTTTTTCAAGGGAAAAAGGTGTGTTCTAACTTGCAAGAGAATGAAACTCTTTCATACTTGACACTTAACCTTTACCATAGTTTAATGTGTCAACCTTTTTCTTTCAGTTGCATTAACAAAGAGAAAAGAGCAGAATATTTCTTATTTAAGGTAACAGACATGTTTTTGCACCACAGCTGGAGCTGGCCCTCAGTGTGCTAAGTGCACAAGCTCGGGGACCAATGTACGAGGAGTACGTGTCTCAGCTAGAGGATGCTTGTGAACGAATCTGGCAAGATGGACGCATGGGCTGTGAGACATTATCGCTCACAGGTAACACGTGCAAGCATCCAAGACACAAAATTCCTAATGATCCAGATGATGACAGGTATGTTTGTACTGATAGTAACATTAGTTGGACCGTCAATTTTGGTAGCAGGCCACAGTGGCTCTAGTTGTGTGACAGATTTTTAAAAGGTTCATTTCAAGGGTTCAAAGCTGGCATAATATTCCTTGTGAGCTTATGCACTGATGAAAGTAGTGTGGATATGACATAAAAAACAGTACCATAGTGCAGCCTGTGCAGATTATGTGGAACATCTACTTATCCTATGCAAGTGACTTTTGAAATTTTCTTGTCCAGGTATCTTTTTTACTTGCCCTGACAAATTATTGGAGGTACACTGTAATTTGCTTGCCTGATTTTTGCATGGGAAAATTTAAACCATTCAAATTTATTGTATGTATCAACTTACTGATCACTTGTGTCCATCACGTGATGTCAACTCTTGTCATCTCACCTCACACTTGCAGGATGTGTAGGGAGTCAGAGGTGGTACAGTTCCGGAAATGTGTTCCTACGCCCCCTGTGGTAACCTGTGTCTCCAAACGGCCAACCTATATGACCTTTAGCAAACTTATCCACCAATCACGTCCGTCGTTACACGACCAATACCAATTCATTCATAAAAAGTGATAGTACTACTGTGTGGAGGCATAGAAAGACATTTCTATAACTGTACCTGTGAACGCACATACCCTTACTATACAGTAAGATCTCATATTTCGCGCGATTTCATTCCGCATTTTATAATTTCGTGAACGCTACCTAATTTAACCAAGTCTTATATTCGGCGTAAAATATTGTGAATTTCACGAGATCCAGCCAGCTGAACGCGAGATCCAGCAAGCTGAATGCTGGCCACCGCAATTGATGAACAGGGTAACGCTGTTTGTAAAACGCGAACTTTTGCATACGAATGTTGGCTATAGCGCGATTCCATCCTCAACGTTTTAAGCGTGGCGCAGGGTTATGCAATGTTTACAGTTCACGTTCGACATCACATGTTCAATTGATTCGTGTCTTTTGTTTGTGAAGTGTTTTTTTGAGAAATACTTTGTAAATTTTTTTTCTTTTGCAAATATAGCTGTTTCCCATAAGTACTGTATGAAAAGAATGGGTAAAAAGAATGTTTCGCGGTGAGGACTAATAACGGTTTACACCAGCGCTCTCTGTTTACTTCACTGATCAGTTGAATCGCACGGTTTCTGTCAATTACTCCATGATTTTTGCTATTTTCTCCAATTTTGTTGTGTTAGCGATGAATACAGAAAGACAAGGTAAGAAGAATGTTTCCAAGAAGAGTTCTGGTGATCGAATTGCCGGTAGTGAACGTAAAAGGGGTTTACAAGAACGCAACTATCGCGTTGTAGCTCACGCCATCCTAGCGACCACCCGGGCTGCTATTGTGTGCTTTTTTTGGGTGGTGCTACCACCTGTCGAGTCAAGATAATGGCCTCTACTTCTACTGGGGGTCCTACTGGTGCTGGTGGGGGTGGGACAGACTCATCTAAGCAGCCAAATAATGAAAAGGAGAAGTGGAATATCATAAGGGAGTTAAGTTTGCCAAGCACTTGATGCAGGATAAGCAGCGTGTGATTAAATTAATTGAGGAAGGCCTAAAAACTAGTTTCCGGAAAGCACAATCAAGTCAATAAAGACAGAATTTGTATCATTTGGAGGTTATAAATGGGAAAATCAGGAAAATTAGAGGTTGATGTAGAGTGGCCAGTCTATATTGTTATTTTTCCCGTTAGTTTATGTATTTGCATTTGGCGAATTTGAATTTGGCGCAATTTGTCCTGTCTATATTACTCGCGAAAGATAAGATCTTAACATAGTGCGTTTTTTCTCAGCTGAGAAAAGATGCCCCGCCCCCTTCTCAAGAATTACAGCTGATTGGCGGTTTCAAACCTGTCCGATTTCGTCCTGAAGTGATGATGTATTTCTAAATGAGTTTATTCATAATCGTTGGGATGACCGTTTCTGGTTAGAAAGATATTTAGCTAAGTTATATAAAGATGTATACATTCATTATTTCAAACATAAGTATGTAGGAAGTTTATCAAAAGTATTATACATGGATTAACTGTTAAACTCTGGTAGCAAATTTATGCTTTTGGAGGATACATTTAATATATACTGTACTTATTTTTACCAACAATAAGGCATACTAAGACAAATTACATATCAGTAATACTGCATTATACAAAAACTAACATTTTAAAAGATTAGAATCGCATTGAAATATTTACACGGCCGTCAACAGAGGTGGGAAATGCGACTGCGAACAACTTCATATTTCCCACCTCTGCTGTGTGGAGGCAGTGGGCTGTCGCCAGCCCATCCACACTCTCCACTGATGTGAGGATACAGCAGACACACATACGTCTGAATCAGCTGGGTGACTGCCCAGGTGAATTGTGTCACGTCATAGGGTAAGGACGTGTGTAATCGGCGCTGCCCGCTCACGCGGCCGTGGTTTCTTGACCATGGAGACAGCTGCCAGCCTGGTCTGTCGGGCCATCCCCTTTCCCCATCAGGATTTATCAACATCCTCCCACCAACAGTACAGGGCAAAGATCGACGATCAACCTCAAGTGATATACAATAGTGACAATTTCAACTCAAAACAAAGAAACAACTGTTAGAGTGACAATCGTGCTTATCGGTCAATGTTGACCAGACGCGGACCTGACACACCCAGGGTCCGCCGTACACTCACCACCACCAACACTGTATGAGAACCCAAGAAACTCTCCAAACTACACCAGGAGGGAAATGAGGACTTCCTACTCCACCCTGGTGAGTAACTATAAATTCCTAACTACATCACAAGAACCATCTCCAACACCCTGTGTGAGCTGAAGGACCTACCTGGACCATGTGCTGTAGTGAGGTAGCGGCTTAACAGCCAGGCTTGGCTCCAGCATCAGGTCACAAGAATGTCTACAGACCAGCTCCCACAGTACCAGATCTAAAGTTAATCTACATGTTGACTATGTTTTCGTTTTGAAAGCTTTTGTCAATCAAGTGACCCACTCCCCGATTCCACCATATGTAACTTATCCCTGTTCATTGTATATTTTCAGCCTTCGGGCTGCCATGTTTTCTTAATAAACCATTAATTATTATTATCATTATTATACTTTGAGTGTGGAAGGATCTATTTTTTGTATATAAAATATGTGATATTGCATTTGACAATATGCTATGTATCAGTTTTATTGTTTATCATAGCAGTTTTTGTTACTTTTTGACATACAGTATACAATACAATTTGATATTTGTTTGAATTGTGAAAACCTTATGCCCACAGAATTGTTTAACTCGGAGTCACATCCTTTATATAAACTTTTTGGTGTTAATAAATCAATCATTTAACTTTGAAGATGCTTATATGGAACTTGTTTATTATTACTGTATTATCATTATTAAGGAGTACAGGTACTGTACTGTACAGTGCTCAGTGTTTACCACCCTGCTGTTTAAACCTGTTGTTCGCCCTCCATGCTTTGCTTTTATGCCTCGTTTAGTAATAATTGTTCTTAATTTAAGGTTTTACGGGAATACAGCCCCATAATTAAATCAGGGATACAGTAGAACGTCGATTTTAAAGCGATTCAATTTAAGATTATTGATTTAAAACGACACCCACAATTAAGGACAACGTTTTAATTTAAAGCGAATCTTTCCTATTTTGCGCGAGTCAATGTGGTGCATCATATTTTAAAATTCGCGCCTAATGTTTCTCTGGGCATTCTACACTGTCCTAAGGTCAAAGCTGTACTGTACATGTACTCAAAATAATGTACTAAATGATTACTAAAATTTTTGTCTCATGCAAATTATAGCATGTTTATATTCAAATTAATCACTATCTTATAAGAATTCCAGCAATGTAAATTATATTCTCCCCGGTCACTTCTGTGACATTTTATAAACAAAAAACAAAAACTCAATCTAAATAATATTTCACTAGACCTTCGGCGCCAACTGTCAAACGTGTTACTGTCACTTCACCCCCCCCCCCTCTTCCCAGCCAGGGTTGGGTGGTTATAGGCTTACAGTTTTTCTTTTATATAATATCACAGACTAAAGTTAGGAGAATATAATTTTCATTACTAGAATCCTTGCAAGACAGTGAATAATATGAATATAAATGTCATATATTTTGCACAAGAGATAAACATTTTAGCCCTTTATAATAAAATTAATTAAGACTAAAATTTGTATGTCTAATGCAAACTATAACATGGATATATTCAAACTAATCACTATCTTATAAGAATTCCAGCAATGTTAATTATATTCTCCCAGGTCAGTTCAGTGACACATTTTATAAGAGAAAAACTTAAAGTCACTCTTAAGGACAGATAAATAAATAAGCACTAGACCTTGGCATCAGCTGTCATACATATCACCTCACCTCTCCCCTCCTATCTTCCCAACAACTGATCGCTAGTAAACAGAACATTTCATGTCCTGTGTTGATTTATGAGTGTTTGTTTTAACATAATACTACAAAAACAAAAATATTCTTGGAGATGGGCTGAGGTGCATCTGGGTAGACTCTCAGTCTTTTTAGTATTTTGTGTTTCTCTCAAGTACCAAACTAAATTATTCCATTGAAGCAATACTTCGATTTAGTGCGAATTTGGTTAAAAGCGAACTCTCCTGGAACGTATCTTACGTTATATCGACGTTCTTCTGTACAGTGGTCCCTCGGTTAACAAACACAATTCGTTCCAGAAGGTTGTTCATTAACTGAAACCATTGTTTCAATGGGTTTTTGGTTAATTGGTTCCAGCTCACCGAAAATTACCTAAAGTAAAAAAAAAATGCAATAAAGTACACTTACTTTGAGGTGTGTATGTAGAAGGCTCCTGGGTGATGATGCTGATGTGAATTTGAAGTGGGAGGTGGAGGAAGAGAAGGGAGAAGAGAAGGAAGTGGGGGTGGAGGAGAAGCATTTTACTGCTTCTTGGAAGGTGAGTCACCTTCCATGAAAATGTCAGGAACCTCTGGACTGACAGATTCCCCAGCAGGAACATCCTCTCTCCTTCTTGAAGTGGAAGGCTGAGGGGTAGCATCTGTTTCCCGATGCCTTTTAATGAAGAAACACTAAATTTTTGGTTGTGGGGCATTTCTCCTCTTCATCATTAACTGATTTTTGAAGGAGACCACTCTGTCCTCAACATTACACAAAATAGGTTCTGTCGTTTCCACATCAGGGTGCCTTGAAGCCAGTTTCCTGAACTTCTCCCAGTAGTGAACAACATCTTTCAAATCTGAAGTAGACATATGGTCATCACTTTCCCTTTCTTCCTCACCACTGTCAGCCTCCAACATCTCATCCAGTTGCTGCAAGTCATCAGGAGTAAGTTCCTGCTCATGAGACATCACAATCTCTTCCACATCAACCTCCTCCATTTTGAGGCCCAATGACTGACCAATGGACACAATCTCCTTGTCCAACTCTGCTTCTTCTTTAAATCCCTCAAAATCATGGACTGCTGATGGCCACAGTGCTTTCCATGCAGAATTGAGGGATCTAATGGAGACTTCTCGCCATGAGGACACAATCAATTTTACAGCCTCCAGGATGTTAAATTGTGACTTCCAGAACTGTGCTAGTGTTAGTTCAGGATCAGTGGAAGTTGCCTGATAACACCTCCTGAACATTTTCTTCATGTACAACTTCTTGAAGTTGCTGATCACATTCTGGCCCATTGGCTGCATGATTGATGTAGTGTTGGGAGGCAAAAACAACACTTTGACAAAGTCAAATTGAGCCTCCAAAGTGCTGGCAAGTTCAGGGTCATGACCAGGGGCATTATTCATAAGAAGAGCCTTTAAAGGGAGTTTATTGGTGGTTAGGTAGCTCTTCACAGAAGGGCAAAACACCTCAACAGCCCATTCATTAAAGAGCTGTCTTGTCACCCATGCCTTACAGTTGGACTTCCAATAAACTCCAAGCTTTCCTCTTACCACTTTTTGTTGCCTGAACACCCTGGGGTTCTCAGAGTGTTAGACAAGCACAGGCTTCAGTCGGAAATCCCCTGAAGCATTGGCACCAAGCAATAGAGTGAGTCGGTCCTTCATGGATTTATGCCCAGGTAAAGAGGCTTCATCTCTGGTGATGATTGTCCTTTTGGGCATTTTCTTCCAGAACAGCCCAGTTTCATCCACATTGAACACTTGCTGTGGAAGATAATTTTCTTCATCCACCAGTTTCTTAAAGTCCACTACAAACTTTGCTGCTCCTTCTTTATCTGCACTTGCAGCCTCACCATGCCTAATAACACTGAAAATGTCACTTCTTTTCTTAAATTTTTCAAACCAGCCCTTGCTTGCCCGAAAATCTTCAAACTCTGTGCCAGAAGAACCAGGTTAATCTTCCTTTAAATGTTCTTAAATCTCCCTGGCTCTTTCACAAATAAATTCTGTAGAAACTGAATCACCTTTCATTTGCTATTCCCTGATCCAAATGAGAAGTAACATCTCTGTTTCTGATATCAATGATCTACCTTTAAACAGTCTGGTAGATTTGTCTCTCACTTTCACTTCCTTAAACTTGTCTTTCTGTGTAAGAATTGTCAACACAGTTGATGCCGACATGCCATTTGTTCTAATGCCCTGTTCATGTTTCTTTATGATTTCCTGTTTTACCTGGATTGAAATAACTTTTCTCGATTCTTTGGAGCCATGCTGGATTCGATTTCAACACTGATATTTTAAGTTTTATTGCTGTAAATAAAGAATATTTTCTTTAAATAAACACTGCACTGCACTATATATTATCAATATGTAGAATATATTTCAAAATGACCAATAATTTGACTGTACAAATGGAAAAAGAGTATGTTGAAGAGAGTCTCAAACAAGATGTTCCTTCCACTGGACAGATACACAAACTGACCCCAAGCTTGGTGTGTTGAGTGGCTGTTTGGCGCGCGAAAAACTAGTTTCCTGTACTTCAATTATGTTCAATAATTGTTAAAATGACTAAAAAAATTTATATAAAACTTTTAAAATTATTGAATAGTACAACCTTCTTGATATTTACTCAACTGGTAATGAATTTAAGCCCTAGAACCGATTACTGTATTGGCGGACTAATACTACAGCTGGTGAGCAACCGAAAGCAAGCGAAAACATGTTGGGAAAAATTCGTAAGGAATTCGTTAACCGAAGTGAAGAATCTTATGGAAGGTAATTCGTTAACCAAAATTTCGTTAACCGAGGCGTTCGTAAACCGAGGGACCATTGTACTGTACCTATATACGGTATTCTGTTTGTTGTATCTTTTCATTCTACTCTTAATGATATGCCTTTAATTTTTTATTAGTGTGAGTGTGTGTGCGTGCGTTCGTGTGTGCATGCGTGCATGCATGGTTGTGTGCGTTTTTCCCCGTACAGTAGAGTATCACATGTTGGGTTCTTTGGCTCTGTAGTCCCCCAGCCAGCCAGATTGTACATGGCCATGTTCATTCATAACACACTTTCTTTTACAGTACAGTTTATATTGCAATGTGCTTCTTTCCTAATAAATCCTTGAACACTTATTATATCTTGTCACTTTGTCATCTTTATCCCACAACCTTTACCCAATAAATAATTTTTATCTGCTTGTAATCTGTCTCTTAATGTTTAACGCTAGTTGTTTTAGCACTTTATATTAGTAACCTCTCATTACAGTGGTTGCATGGCTCAGATTTTATCCATAAGAATATATTTTTTAAAAAGTTGGGGAAAAAAGAATGTACTGTACATACTGTATAGGATTTCAGAATATACAGTGAACGAGAGGATGTACTTTAGTAACAACAAAAGAGGGTGTATATACTGTAAATGATAAAGGAATGTGAAATGCATTAACTACAGTACAGTATTGTGTGGGAGGGATGTACAAATTGGGTTAAAAAAAAAATATTGTGTGAAGAGGATGATAGTTTTTGGAGAAGACCTAATGATAATCATGATGCATTCCATGACAGTGTAAGGTGAAAGTTTGGGGAGTATGACTTTTCATTATGTTCATTGATGTGATATTAAGTAAGTTATCAGCATTGTATAGTACAACTTTGGTGAAATAAGAATGTACAGTATTATAATGTTTTTATATTGAAAACAGAGTTAGATTAATTCTTGAAGATGCTGACTGATGTGGTACCAGTATTAACACCCTGGTTATGAGGGGTCTCTGTGCTGCATAACATAGTCTGTCGTTGGCCAAATGAAATATTAAAAGTGACTTCCAGGAGTGAGGGGTTTAAGAGAGGTTATTATGAGCATTGTGTCTCCCACCCACAGCTCACTGCCTGTTATGACCCACAACTCTGGCATAATGTACATCAGTTTTTGTAACTGTGGGCGACGACAGGGTCAGCGGGAAGATTCTTTCTCTGTTAAGACAGCAAATCACTCCTTCTATCAACAGTTAGCAGAGGCTTGCTGCACCCGCCTTGAATCTATATCTTTTTCTACTTTCAAACCAAGTGTCACCAATGCTAAAGGTCAGAAAATTTCATGAGTCATATTTAAACATATATTAAGGTTATTTTTTAGTTTTTCATCTTAAATCATTTTGATGGTTGTACTATTGAACCAGCCAATGTCTCAACGGTGTTTGATTAGTAGTCTGAAGGAAATATAAATGTTCTTCATAACTGCAGAACGTTGTGTCTTTTAGTCAATAAACTGAACCTTATTTAAGGTCATTGGGGCTGGCAGGTCCCAGTTTACTCATATGGTCATCTGTTATTCTTTCAGTGTCTCAAAGGAATAAATTTGCTTTGTTTCCAATGCCAATAACACTTGGAATATTAAATAACAAAGAGAACTTGTATTTTATTAAAGAGAATGTAGTCATTATCATTATCATATTTGATAAAAATACACATACAGGCAGCAGTCCCCGGGTTACGTATGAGTTCCGTTCCTACAGACGTTCTTAAGTAAAAAATGTACTTACGTTGAACCACATAACCTACCGGGTATGTGTATACTGTACAGGTAGTTCTGCTATAACGCGATAATTGTGTTCTTGTAAAATATCGTGTTATAGAAAATCGCGTAATAGAAATAACAGGGCTTATGGAGAAAATAGGGTTAGGTGCAGATTACTCGAAATCGAAAAAATTTAGTAGTTAGCCTAACACAAAGGATAGCACAGTCTAAATAAATGTTACATTCATATCTAATAATGAAATCATACAGTAAATTTAACACTTTACCTTGAAAAAATATGAATGTAACTAGATGGGGGAGAAGGGTGATTTTGAGGTTGATAACATCGAGCTTCTCTTCAAGTGTTATATCCTTTCTTTTACGATAATCACCGGGAATTCTATCATCAGAACGCTTTTTGGAGATATTCTTCTTTACCATATTCACAGTTAATACCACAAAATTGGAGAAATAGTAAGCAAAAATCGCGTTATAGCAAACAAGCGTTCGCGTTATACAAATATTGTTCCGAATTCATAAATCGCGTTAGAGCAAATTCGCGTTATCAAAACACGCGTTATAGCAGAACTCACTGTACTTGCAGAACAATGTTTAAAATCCCACTTTATCATAGCCTAAGTCCTTATGTACATCTAAAATTACTAAATTTAAAAGAAAAGGAGAAATAGAATGACAAATTACAGTAAATGAAAGTAAAAAATAAGCCATCAGGTAAATAAAATACTGAAAATTTAAAGTTTAACTTTACAGGATTTCTTTCATATCGATGTATGTTCTTAAGTCGGACTTACATACCCCGGGGACCTCCTGTACAGAGTCCACGTTGACAAGGATTATACATTTTTTCAGCTGCAAAAGTGGATGGATCAGAAGATGATGAAATGGAAGTTGATGGTTCAAGTGCAGTGAGTCGAGACAGTCGGGAGCAGTTAGACTCAGGAACACCTCACACTCCAGGGCTCAGTTTGGTTGGAACTGGACTCAGTGGTAGTATGAACAATGCCACAGGAACAGCTGCAGCACGCATGACAGGAGATCAGACTCACATTGGCTCCCAGGTTGTTATTACCCTCACAAAAGATGACTCTAAGGTCATCCATAAAGGTAAGAGTTGTGAGAAATTAATATACATTTTTTTTTATCATTTTAGGTATAAATTTTACCAAAATATTATTAGAATATTATAAGATGTGGTGATCAGAGGGCAGATCTGCAAAAGGAGTAAAGTATATAATTCATAGGTGAATGATAAGAAGGAGAGGTGGAAATAAAAAAGATGGAATGATGAGTTAAAGATTATCCAAGAAATGAGTGGGGATAGCCATTGAAAGATTTTCAGGAAAGAAGATATGTGAAGTAATAGAGATAATCCAGATAGACATTTGGAAGTCTTGTTTTAGAAGGGAAATACCATAGCAGAACACTTCTATGGTATTTACAGCAGTGGGAGTTGTGATACTATGGGCTTGCTTTGTTGATGCACTCTTTTAATTTTGGCAACTTTGCATTATAACAAGAAAATGCTTAAAAGATTTTAAAAGAATTGGTAACAAAACTTTTAAATAGTTTCAAGTTGTGGAACTAATTTAGGTACAGTAAACCCTTGCTATTTGCGAGAATTATGTCCCAAGGAATGGCACGAATTGGCAAAACTGAGAATAGCAACCTATACTTCCGTAGTACACTACTGTATACCTATACTGTGTGTGAGAAACTAAAGTCACCAATACTACTATATTTTATGGCATATAAGATGCACTTTTTTGTCTGAAAATGGCAAAAAAAAAATCCGCCTGCATCCTACAGTATATATGAATTAACTGTGCAGTTCCGAAAAGTCGATAGATTAAGATGACTGGATCATCAGAATAAAATAAGAATTATATTAAGATACAAAACTACTTTTGGGTGCATAGGTGAGGGTTGGCAGAGAAGGAAGGGAGGGAGGACAACTCACCATCACCTTTTCGGCAACCCGCGATCCCTATACAGTATAATGACAGCATACAGTTTCACCATAATTCCCATATTATTTAGGTTCATTTGGTGTCAGGTTAATTAAACATTAGTTTTGAAAAATAATTACTTATTCCCCAAAAATCTCACACTCAATCCCAGATGAGCTATTGCACCGTAGTACAGTATATTCCTGATCTCTTGTTTAAAGAGTGGTAACAGCTGAGTGTTTCTGCTCTCCCTAACAATGTTGCCAGCACTCACCATCTCTAAGCACCAGATTTTTCGGTAATTTGAGTAACACAGAGCCCCCTTTTTATCGAATTAATGAAGGTATTGTGTAGAAATTAATATAAAAATACAAAATACAAATAAACAACGAGGAATAATATCTGTGGAGATGGCATGTAACTGCGTAGCTGACTCGCCACCCAGTTGCATTCAGAGCGGGTGAGGCTGAGCTGTGAGCTATGCTATTGTTCAACTCGTAATTTTGGATTGATATACTGTACAGAACTGTACATAATTTTCTTCATTTTCTTTTACTCTGTTCATACACACACATTCGTTAATACCGAGTGCCAAAAAAAAATAATAATAATTATCATAAGGTCAAAAACATGAAGGGAATATACAGTTTTAATGTGGTCGGTAGTAAGCCTACAGGGCAGGGGATCTCTCAGCTGTTTTGTGTCTCGTGTCCCGGGAAATTGTTACTAAGGCAATGCAGTGTTTTTTATCTTCTTTTCTTTATTATTATTTGTATTATTCCTCACATTAACTGTACTGGTACAGTATATATTATTATGTACAAAGAATAGCTTCTTTTACATGCAAGCTATCCTCTGGGCAATGTGACAGTTCAACTGCTTAGCCTGGCATTCACCGGGGATGGGCGGAACCTCCTGCGTGAGTTGCATGTTGTACGCCATTCCGATATTGTGTCATGATGTCTCTCAGTATTGTGATTTATTGCACGTCACTTTTTCATACGAGTGACAGTGCATGTGGTAAATGATGTTAATTTTTTTTACATCATAAAACTAATGGAGCACTTATTGATCCATGTATAATATTATAATAGTTATTACCTGTAATACCATGTAAAGTTTCAGGCTTCCGTTTTGGAGCTATGGCTGGAACAGACAAGCACATCCTTTTATTACTTTTATTACTTTATATACTGTATTGAGAAAAATAGTTAGGTAATTTTCCTTTATATAAAAAGTTTTCAGCTAATGGTAGACAGAAAGATGTGAGAAGGCATAGAATTCCATAAACCAGAAATGCAAGAAAGGAAAGGAAGCCTGAAGATAAATGTTGAGTTAGATGGAGATGGTTTGACACATCATAGTGATGTGTTTTTCTAATGGGATTAAAAGGAGTGAGAAAATTGGTTTGGGTTGTGTTGAACTGTATTTTCTAATAGCAGTAGGAAATAGTGTACAGTATTCTTAATGTAGATAAGAGTGAACATTTAAGCAAAAACTAAGAAGTTGAATATTTCTGTTGAATTGTGACAGATCGTGGGATAATACGTCAAGCGTCAACGACAGAATACCTGCCAGGGATGCTTCACACAGCTTCCCCTCCTGAACTGTTGCCTCGTTGGTCTTCCTGGTCCCTCTGTTGTCTCGGTCCTTCATCACTATATTCTCATAATGCTGGTAGGTTGTGTGTGGATATTTTGCACAATATGTACTTGTTTTCTCATGATACTCTCAAGTTCTTTTAGAATATTTTTAGCAGTGCCGTATTGATTTTGTATTTTCATAATGCTTATAGGTTCTACACACTACAGTATTGTAGTTCCTTATCTGAATATTCAGCTAATGCTGGTAGGTCCTCTCAAGTGTCTTTAAAACATTGTTCAGATTGTATTCTCATGATGCTGGTAAGTTTGTTTGGAAAATTTAAACGGCCATTCAGGTTATTAACCTGCTGGGAAATAGAGTTATCTCTTCATTAGCCAGAATTTTCAATCCCCGGAACTTTCCATTGGCCAGGGAAAATTTTTTTGCATTTTTGAGAAATTCCAAGAAAAATCTCTGTTCCAGGCATTTGAATAAATTTCTGAAAGATTGCATCATACACCGACACACACCGAGCGTGTGGGTGGGTAGACTCAGAGTGCTTATGCGCTACAATTTGCTACTAATGTCACGTGACAGCATGGGATGCCTATGATTGGCTGATATACTGTATCTTGCAGCCTATCTCAAACTCTAGCATCATGACACTCTTAGTTCATTGTCTGCTGCCATTGTACACTCACACCAAAAAGTATCGGTGCAGGGTGTGATCGACGACTTCCGAAACGATACATATACACTGTGATATGTCGGGAAGGTTGGTAAGTGTATCCTCATAACCACCCCCCCCCCTCCACTAGGTGTTGCCATATGGCTGACAATCAGTGTGTTTGTTTCCTCTTTTCGGATTGTTGCTTTGTGTCGACTGAATGATGAACGAGGGTTCGGTCTCGGTGAACTTGGGTATAAAACAGAGGCAGTATGAAGCAATACAGATCTACACTTGCCAGACGACATGGAAACCTCAGAGGGAACATGAGGAACTATTATTGCCCTTCATAACGAAGGGTTTGGCGTCACAGATATTAGCCGGCGGGTTGGTGTCCACAGGAACACCGCTGCACGATGGATTCGGAGATACCTCGAAACTGGTGCTACACACGACAGGTCTCGGAGCGGCCGTCCACGCTGCACCACCCCTCAGGACGACCAGGTTGAGTGGTTTATTTGGTAGCATAAATTAATGTGGCAATATTCACAAGTATCACAAATAATTTTGTTAACAGAGAGCTCCTCATATTTCTTACTGTCTATTTATCACTTCCCGACCTTATTTATAACGGTTTGTTTCACTTGACCAGGCCATAGCAGCTGCTTGTGATGCAGCTCAGCAGGATTACAGGGCTGCCAACATACAGCTGGAACAACTCGCCTTTCCCAAAACCTATCGTCACTGGTCTCAAATTGTTCACACTGCAGTGTGCACTGATAATTTTTGTTGCGAGTGTACAAGCTTGTTCGCTCTCTCACTGCAGTTTTTTGCATATGATCTGTGTTGTGCAGTACTGTACATTACTGTACAGTTGCCTCAAAGAGTTCTTTTATCCGCTGTGGTGTCATTTGCGTACATGTGGCAGTGTCGCTATACTGTACTAGACTAAACTTATGAAGGAATCTGTAGTGGTCAGGCCACATTGGAGCTGATTGGTGGAAAAGATTCCTAGATATAATTTTGCTTGGCAATAATGATAAATAGATATATAAATACCTGTACTGTATAAACTAAACTCAATATAATAATATACACATACAGTAGATGCTTCTTATAAAGAAGAATACCAATATGAGCGATAAGGGTTTAGAAATAAAATGTATACACCCCCCCCCCCCCAGTGGGAGCTGCCTTGCTGCAGTGGAGGGGGCTTGTGAGACCCAATGGTCTGGTGAGCCATACCAGAAGGGGGCTTGGCCCCTCTTTCTTCCCTCCTCGGAGGGAGGGGAAGGGTTTCATCCCCATCCCAGACCACCATGGCTGGAATACTCTCCCACAGGAGACGGGAGTCCTGGTGGTTGAGCAACGCCACACTGCGGCTAGTAACACACCTCGTTGGTCCCCTATTCCAGCTAGACTGGCGGCTTGGTTGGGTCCAATTGTCAATTGGCTGGTCACAACAAGGCTAGGGTCTAGCAGGCATCAGGGGGCCTGGTATTCCTATGGCCAAAGAGCTGCTGTCTTGGCCCTCTGGTGGTTACCCGCATATATTCCCCTGTTACCCCTGGTCACCAGGGTCTTATCTCTGGCATTGACCTTCCCTTGATGGGGTCTGTGGGGGGTGGGGAGTGAAGTCTTTTTTTTTTTTTAATGAAGCAAACTCCATTAGCCAGCCAGACTATCCTGTACCTGTCCCTGGACCCTCCTTTGGATTATCAGTTGCAACATTGCAGCCCTATCAGATTTTTAAATAAGTGGAGCACTCTGTGTCCCGACAAATGCCCAAGTATAACAGCCGCAGGAGGCCCAGTGTCCCTGGCACTTTCCTTGATGCTTCTACCCGTGAGATCTTACCAGGTGTGTTCAAGCAGGTGGATTTTGCAAAATACTTAGGGCTCTGTGCTGTGGAAGGCCAGCCTGTAATGGACATGGACATTTTTGATGTTCACAGGTTAATTGCAATAATTTGTGGAAGAGAACCAAAAATATTCACTCAGCAAGATGGTAGCCTCCTAGTGGAGGTCTTCCCCAAGGAGAGGGCTCGACTCTGAACCCTGTCTGAAATACCTGGTGCCCCAGTCTCCTGTACTCCACATGCCACCTTTAACCAGTGTCGAGGGGTGGTATTCTCTAAAGAGCTACTCAAATATTCAGACCAGAAGCTTCTAGAAGAGCTTTGAGTCCAAAAAGTGGTGAAAGTAGACAGGTTCGACGAGGAAGAGAATGGCGTTCTTACCTCTACACCAACTCTGTTATTGACATTTGACTGCTTTGATCTTCCAACCTCTATCAAGGTTGCCTGGATCTCCCACAAGGTGCAGCCATACATCCTAAGCCCTAGACAATGTTTCCATTGTCAGATGTATGGCCATTTCAGACGCACTTGTCGTAAGTTACAGCTGAATGTTCCTGTGGTAAGGCCTATGGGGGTCAGAAATGTCCGCGCCTGGTCTGCTGTTTTCATTATTCGTGAGGCACATCCGACCTCTTCAAGTGAATGTGACCAGTTCCAACTCTGGAGAGAGGTCCTCCATATCCCCACGAGAGACAAAGTGAGCTTTGCTGAAGCTGGAAGTGTAGCACTGAAATCACTCTCAAGTCATGGGACTTCCTCTGCACAGGTTCTATCCAAACACAAGGCTTGGCAAACTGTTGCTGTGACATCAACCCAAGAATCACCTGGATAGTACCTGTATCGAAATTGGCTCCCACCCCCGACTCCATGCCACCAATCCTCAGTCCTCAGACTTCTCTCTTATTAGCTGAGGTCCATATGGCTGAGGCGGCCACATCTGATACTACAAAAATTTCAGCGAAATGCTATCGAGGGTTCTCAGAGTCTCTAGAGGTGGACTATCTTCCAACCAAGGTCTTGATGGTGGAATCAACTGACTGTTGTGAAGGAAGCAAGACCCTTTTACCAACTTTGGAACCCAATTCTGAGTCCCAGACACTGTACACTCCCATAGATACTCTTTTAATGGCTTGATACATACAGTATTGAGCAAGATGCTGAGATCTGTGAAGATTAGGAATCTCCTCTTTCACCTGATGATTAAACACCCTAATTCTAGCCTAGCCTAACCAACTTTAACCCCACCCCATTTAACACTATGGTGTTTGTCACATGAAGTAAGTGGGAATTCTAATGTTCATGAGGTCTAGATTTTGATAATATTGTAAGAACCTGTCAATGGAAACAACAGGTGGGCTAAAAGTCTTAATATAATTTCATTTTATATCATAACATGCATAAATCTTTCTAAATATTCCACTACTGTAGTAAAAAAAATATATTTTTATTACCCTTGCAGGTATCTGTGATCAACCAGGCTTCTTGCCAGGAACCAACTTCCTATTGCCATGGGATGTTACTGTGAAAATTGAAGATCGAGACAAGTGGCCAGCTATTGCAGATACCCTCGGCAAAAAAGCGCTGCTTCCCAAAAATAAGAAAAATAGAGTGGGAGGTAAGCCGTCAAAGTAAACAGTTTTTTTTATGCAATATTGGGAGATGGACTGACAGTGAATGTGTAGGGGAGTGTGTGTATGTGGTGATGCGGGGTTGAAGAGGAAGCATTAGTATGTTTAGGAGAGGGAATGATTATGAGTGTCACGTGCGTCCTTGATAAAATGTCATACGGATGTTCTATGTTGTGTGGGGGAGAAGGGGTTTTACTGTACCACCCATCATTTGGATTGAATCTGAAAATGTAGACAATATTACCAGTAAGGCTTATAAATATTGGGGATAACTGTAGTCAGTTAAGGAATGTGTAGATGACAGGCTTGTCACAGTGGTGGCACATTATCTGCAAAGGTTGTAGTTAATTATACTTTTTTCTATGTTTACTAACAGTATTTTGAGATCTATTAATTAAATTAAGATAGATATATAAAAAAATATTTTCTGAAATTAACTTCCATTTCATAATTGTTTATTTACTTGAATTCTTGAATTACTGAATTTATTTAGAAGTAAATATTCATTCAAATATAGATAATACTGTTAATAACTAACTTTAAATTCTATCCTAGATATCCACGAATTCACTGTGAAAATATTTCTGGGAGTGGAGTACGAATGTGTGCGTGGCCATAGGTTCATGATGGCCACTCCTGACCGTCACCTTAAGGCATCCCCATCTGGTTTGGTGAAAGACAATGCAACGAAGATTGCCAATGCTGATATGCCTCTGTACTTCCCTTGCCCGTGCAGGTATATTTTACATCAATGTGATACAGTAATATTGACACAGTATAGTACTTCAGTGTTATATGCTCCCCAAGGAGACCTCCCTGACAGTTTCCTCCCTGCAGTTTATTCATGTGAAAATATTGAGCCAAGGTGTACTCAAATTGTTTTCTTTTATTACAGAACAACTTATTTTTTCATTTCATTAATAACTTAGTACATTAAGCCAACAACTTACTTTAGTGTTTATTATGATATGAAATGAGGTACAGAACTTCATTACTATCTGTCTCGATTCATGTATCCATAGCCGTAGTGGGGGAGGCATTGTGAATGGTCAACTTATGCGCCTTCATGTGGTAACACCCAAAGCCCCAGTTAATGTAACCCTGAGCCCACAAGTACAGCCTGGTCCAGACCCCTGCCCCCGCTACATTCCTCAACCATGTAGCTCTCTGCCAGTGAAGCTTTCTGCATCTGCATATTGGGTTCTCCGTCTTCCATACGTCTACGTAGGGGACCAAGGGCCTCATTATCCACCTGACCCCAGACAGCCAACTCCACCGTCGTTTGCCCGTCTGCACAAGGGATGCTACGGAATATCTCAAGTAACGTTGGACAGATAATCATTTCCTTGTTATTTTTCCAGTTATTGAACAAAAAAAAAAATCATTCTTAGCTTCAGTAATATTTGCACTGATATTTAGGATTATTCTATGAAAATTTATAAATTGATGTCATTTGATATAGCTCTTATCTTTTAAAAAAAAATTAAATTTTGTGTAATATTTGTATTACATTGGGAAATAGGATAGTGTTTTTTCTGTAAACTTTATTTGCCCTGTAATGATTTGTCAAATACATAATAAAAAGATGTGGTAATGAGAGTGAACTTGAGTAGCACTTGGTCACTAAGGGAACACCACTTTTAATATTTTGTTTGGCTCACTCCTGGCAATTTTAATTGGCTTAGAGGCAACCCCATGCACAAGGGGTTAGACATCATTATTCGAAAAGATCCTGGGTTGTATGTAGTGACAGTACTAAATCAGATGGACATATGAGGGCCTTGTTGTTGAAGGGGAACACCATAGAACACCTCTAGTATGGCAGCTGGAAAGAAGGAATAACACTGAATCTTGGGGGACTATGGATCTCTTGTTTCTGATTTATCTGCACCATGTGGGTTTTAGATCTTGCAGGTCACTATTATGGCTACATAGGCTATAAATGAGACATGAGGTATTAAAGTCCCTTTTCTGGCCAAAGAAACAGAGAAATTCCCTGGATCCTTTGCTCATGTGTGAGACTGAAACATCAAGGAGCTGTGAATCTGTGCTTATGGACCAAGTAATTGTAATGAAGGTAACAAGAGTGAGAAAACTCCAGACTATAATCTTCACTGGTTCCTGTAACCAACTGTCACTGGTTGGTTAGGTGTATGGGGGGTATAGAAATTTATGCCCCTGACAGAACAGTACAGAAGGGTTAGGTACCATAAATCAAAATTCCCATTGACTATCATTATAGAAGTGGAGATAGGTTCCTCCACAACCAAAGTTTGACTACAATGTAACAAATACGTATAATAACACAACAACGATCTGTATACAGGTATCCCTCACTATACGAACATTAGCTCTATGAATATAGGTATACCCCATAAACCGAAGTTCCCCCTTGACTGATGCTTCGCATAACCAACAATTATGTATTAGGAATTCCCTGAAGTTTCGCTGACTACCCCGTTGATCCAACGATTGGGGGAGGAGCGGCAGTGCACTTTTTAGTTTAGCACACTTGGTGCGGTAAATTTTTGCCATGAGTGGCCTTTAGCTCAGTCTCCCATTCAGATGTTTTTCGCTTACCCCATTGTCTCCAACTTTGTGTTACGTGTGTTATGCAATCTTGCCTAAATGCCCCAGCAATACTTACTCTTCTGTTTAACCCATAAATTGCTAGCATTTTAAGTAGAGTATATATAGGCCAAATGAGAGCTGGTGAGTTAAGGGGTGGTGTGTACAAATCAACCATTGATTGATAATTAAGAGGATATAACGTCCCAATTGGGTTTTTGTGAGATTAACTAAAGATAAACAATTAATAAAGACCCAATAGTTGTGACAGCGGTGTAGGATAGCCGTCTTGCAATAGTCAGTGTCTACTATATTAACTGCATGCTACGTCTTACCACTTAAGTGTTATAACTTATTGCTGAAATACCTGTGTTCCATATTATCACTGAGATTGTGTAGTGATTTGTGATAACAGTGAAAATGTTTAAGACAATCAAACATTTTAGTAACTGACACTTACAGGGTAAGTGAATAACAGATGTAATAAACTATGATGAGAGGTGAAAATTCCCATAGCCTTTATTTTTCATAATTACCTTGCCTTGTGTAAGTGACAAGTGTTTTAAGTGTCCCAGTTCATTACTTTCACCTTCAGTGAGTGACAAGTGCTAAATAAACCCTGCTTTGGCTCACAAAATTCCTCATCTGATGACAATTTCTTAACCTTGTGTGAGGACTCCCTAAGGCGTGTAGCACGATCTCTCGCTAAGTCAAACAGAGTTAGCCCTGTGCTAGGGATACTACCATTTCATCAATCAATAGAACTGATAAGCGTGACACAATGTCTAGCCCAACAGGGGCCGGTGCCACACGCAGCCAACTTGTGGCTGTGTGCGTGTATGGTATGGTTGGTTGATACAATGGGCAATGTGAAATATTACTTCCACCAAATCTCTCTCTCTCTCTGCTGTTAATGTAGCAACAATATGCACACAGACCAGAGGCTCTTACTTTGCTGCCAATTTTAGTCATTGAATGAATTACTAGAATAGATTTGACTTTAAGAAACTAATTATATTACATAAACGCAAGAAGAAGTTGAGGAAACATGTATGAGTCCAGCAACGATGACAAAATTGACAACCCGAAATAGTCGGGTAAAAACGAAATGAAAATAAGTTGCCCTGGCTGGGATTGGAAATTCCACCATGTCGACTAATGATTAGAACAATATAAGTGGCTGTCAGAGCAGTTAACTCAACAACACACCACCCATACATTTTGCTCAGATCAGGTATCCACACAGCCGTGATGTTACCTGACAACTGCAATGACATAATGCTATATAATATCGTTACTATAACACAGGTAAAGACTCGTATAGAAGATATAGGTAGAATATTTATAGTTGTAGGAAAATAAAGTGAGGAAGTTTTGGTCGCGGGCCGTTAGTTACTTTCAACTTGCTATTATATTCTTAGGGGAAATCTTTCTAAACACCAACTCTAAGTACAGCTATTTATTATTCACTCAATTGCATAGGCACATTAATAGATCAATATATCGAAGTTACTAGACACTGACTCTCGGACACAAACATGAAATGGATACACTTCCCACCTTAAGTAACTCATCCCTGGATCGCTCTGACAAAGACTCACGTGTGACCTGGGGGAGGCCCAGCAGGTACTGTTGAAGGGAGTGCTGGACTATGTCTCCTGTGGGAGACTGCAAGCTGGAGATGCAGTGCTGGGGAGGGAAATCTCCGGTTGGAGCTGTCGGCTCCTTCCCTCTTAGAATGGTATCCGAATGCTTGTCCAGGTGTAGTTACTTGAGTAACACGGTCATAATGCCGGGTTAACTTAGGTACCTTGTCCGTGACCTCTCCTGGGCCGGTCTTACTGTCACTGTAGGGTGTGTCAACCTATGTGGGTTACCACGTGGGCATCTCCTTACTGTTATATGTGTTGTATTTCTCGGGGCTGTAAGCTATGGTTTGATAAACAATCATTACACATGCTTCCTTTCCTTCGAATGTAAAGAAACTAGGCCACTATTTTTATATGTAGTGTAAACATTTAGATCAGTCTAAAAATAATAACATGGGAAAGAGCTGACTAGAGTGATTGTGTCCATTGTTCTAATGTTCATCCCAAATTAAACATTGTTATATATAATTCACTTATAGGCTATCATTTTACCTGCAAATTTGAGTAGCCAGGCACCCAAGACTATAGCCTGGGTGTCAAGCTATTTACATTCAAATTTGGGTGTTTCGGCCTTTTTATACGGAGGCAGCCATTATGTTCCAGTGACCCACGACGTTATATACTTTTATGCCTTTGTGCCTCATACGGAAGAACAAGTAAAGTACAGTGTATATTTGAGTGATAATAAATTTGTGATGGCAGGGAAACTTTTGTACTGCATCAGTGTGTGTGTGTATATATATATATATATATATATATATATATATATATATATATATATATATATATATATATATATATATATATATATATATATATATATATATATATATATATATATATATATATATATATATATATATATATATATATATATATATATATATATATATATATATAATGCCAGTTTTCTTTATTTTATTATAACTACAGTAGTTAAGCCATGTGTATTTCCCATGTTCAATATTTTTAATGTCCACATTGTGTTCTGTATGTAGTTTTTCCCTGTTATTCTGAACATATTCTTACATTATGAGTGCAAAAGCTGTTAGCTGTTTTATGGCATGAAAACTGCTCTTTATGACTTGAAATATATCACGATTTCTTTAAAAAATATATATACTGTGTCACACTCTTAAGTGGAGATATTCTCAGCTTGCTCTATTATTTGTGACTTGGCCAAATATTTTAAGATCTATTTGATATATCTGTGGATGTACAAATCTTCACTTATGGGGAAAATTGCCTTGATATTCCAACTCATCTTTAAAATTATTTTGAAATTTTTTTGGTGAATGATTGAACATATAACTGGAAGGAGTTGGGTTATTTATACAATTACATTTGTAATTCATTTTATTGTACATGAGAAAAGTGACTGTGACACCAGGTATCAACTCCTGAGTTCTGTGATTATATAAGCTGTTGTCATGGAGGCTAATTTTCCTTAGGTAGCAAATTCAGACACGAACTGTACACAAGCCACTTATGGGTCTTGTATTTTGGTGAACACATTACTAAAGCAACCCAAACCATTGCTTACACATAAGCAACAAAGAATGCCATTATTAAAACTGTTTGCATGAAAACCCCACTTCCATGTATCAACTGGAAACTGTTTTATAAGTATGTAAGATAGGGTGTAAGGTCACACAGTGGACTTTCATAAGTGCTCTAACACAGAAGTTTGTACAGTTTGCTGTTATGCTATCTTTTTTAGAAGCACAACCTCAATATAAATTGCTTACCTTACACTCTTTCTTCCTAAGAACTCATAGTATTTCCAATCATCACTCAGAAACACAAGGTTATAGGAGGCAAGTACATATGACCACTTTACAGCACAAGCCTTTCCTTGCTTAGCCAATGACAAGTGACGAAATTGTAAGATCCTATGACTGTTTATAGCAGACTATCCACAGGCTTTACCACTGACAAGAGTTATGTGCACTTTAAACCTTTGAAAATGTTAACTGTGTGATGATTTATTATATATACTGTATATGTATTGGTAAAGACAAATGAAACCAAAGGATGAGATCAGTAATTACATTAAGAAAACTAATATGATATCACCATGTTGTGTACTGAAGTGTTCTGCCA